GGAGGGGGGAAGCGCATTCCTTTTTTCAAGATCTGATAAAGTTTTATTTGATTTAAAAATATTTTTAATTGCATCTATTACAATAAAACAGATTAGGCACAAGTTGTCCAACTTATGTAAAGCCCTTTCCCAACGTTTATAACGTTTATGCTTGCGGTCTTCTCCGCGGTTGATTAATAGGGATTAAAAATCATCATTTTAAAAAAGTCGTACCATATCAGAAAAAAAATGTTAAACTCTTATAAAACCTCAGATCACCAAATATAATATACATGTACAAAATATATGCTATATTTGCCAAGCAGTCAGCGATATATGAGTAGTATGATACCTGAAACCAAATGAAGGTGATCAGTATAATATTTCGCTAAGTCTTACCAGAATAAAGCCTAGCGTTTTATGGTTCCTTTGTCCAAATCTATTTCCTTTGCTAAGTAGTTTAGGTAAATCCTGTATCCCTTGAATCCTTTTCAAGAAGGTATCTTCCGGTTTCATTGAAAGCCACCATCCTTCGAACAACAAATCATACAGAAAAAAGGAATATTATTCAAAATAATACGTATGATTTTTCGATAAAATAGATTTGACACTTAGTAGGGACATATATTTTCAAATGATGTTAATATTAACAGTATTTTTGTAAAATCCCGTAAGGAAAGCATCACCTCGAACACAATATGTTATCCGGGAATTAACGAGCGAAAAACACCAGATAAGTGTGGAGTTGCAACTACCAGGTTATATAAGGACATTGTCATCAAAACAGAAATTCACTATCAAATTAAGTATTAGGCGGTATATACACAGGTACATATAATGAAGACATTACCTTCGACACAGTACAGGCAGACCTACAAAAATGGTACTCACTACAAAAAGCCTTGACATCAAAATAGTAAACCCTACCATCGACATAGTGCAAAGCGCCAAATAAAAAATCAGCACTTCTCACAAAAACGACACAGTGCAAAGTACCAACTAAAATTCAGATCTTGTCATCAAACCACTGCTTGGTATCAACGAACTACTAAGAAAACATGAGAATACTGAAGTAAAGGCCTGGACATGGTGGTCTTTGTTACCTGTCCTGATAAGCTCCTTATTAAATTCAGCATTATATGAAAACAAATCAAGTGGACTGAATGGCGGGCAAAGTGTGTCTACATGGGTCTGCCAACATTCAGTTGCAAAATCTTGCAATCGAACTCAACGATATTATATTCAACCAGAAATTCAATCGTTTGTCATATCTATATTCTCAGGTATACGTAGAAGAAATATATTTGCAAAAGCAAAGCGTTACCGTCAGCAAAGTTACATAAAAGCACGATTCCGTCTACAAAGTATCATCAAATCAAGAAACCGTCTACAAAGTATCATCAAATCAAGAAACCGTCTACAAAGTATCATCAAATCAAGAAACCGTCTACAAAGTATCATTTAAACAATGTACTGTCAACAAAGTAACAAATCAAGGTACCGTCTACGCATAATCATAAAAATAGATTGGCATCGTTAACGAAGGATAATCAAATTAAAGTACAATCAATAAAATATCATCAAAATAAGGGTACGTCACAAATGATTCTCAAATCTAGGTTCCGTTTACAAAGGATCTTCAAATCTAGGTTCCGTTTACAAAGGATCTTCAAATCTAGGATCCGTTTACAAAGGATCTTCAAATCTAGGTTCCGTTTACAAAGGAACTTCAAATCAAGGTTCCGTTTACAAGGAACTTACCATCAAAACAGTGGACTGGGTAGTTACAGATCAGTGCACCATCTACAAAGAAATCTGTTCCGCCATTGGGTAAAGTTTTCTTGATCGGTTGGAAGGCACCTGGAAATAATTGATATGTGATTCATCGTCAATTTATTAGAATTCAGACCGTATGTAAGCATTAAAACAACAACGGTACATAATTTAAATCAAACTGCCCGCAATAAATACTGAATACATGTAGATATATAAGTGTGGTCATAGGTTGGGAAATGTCAATCTCACTTTAGACGATTTATTGATAGTAATTAAATTAATGTTGACTGTAGATATGTCGTTACAAGTAAGATTTTTTTAATACGTTTCGATAGGCATCCCATTGCGACAGATATTAGTTGACCAACCAGAACAGTAACGGTTCTCTCTGCATAACGGATGTTGCATGCGACTTTTTTATTTGGTTCAATAAAGAGTACAGTTTAGGACGTGTATTTTTTACAGATATATCTAACACAACCGCAGCAGTTGTTTCAATGATTTCGCAATAAGAATAACACCAGCTGTCAGTTTCATGTATTAACAACTACTGGATTAGGACTTCACAGCTGATGTATTGCTGTCACATCTTTCTGGCTAATTTTCAATTTGTTTTCCAAACTAAAATAATATCGGGTTTTTTTTTCAATATACAAGTTTTATTTCCGTCGTAAAAATGTTAAAAGTTTAATATACCGACACACTTGTCAACTATATAATTCATTATATATATTTATTTTGACACTCTCGCGACATTTATTTTTAAGCTACGCTCATGAAAGGGCCTGTTTCCAGGAATGTTAATTCTCCATAGGAGCCTGCCCCCGTATAATTTCTTATCTAGCTCAACTACTGTTTTTTTCTTTTCCGAAGAATAATTTTACACCTTTCCGACACCCAGATTTCATAATTTCAGTGAAAATGTATTTTTATAAAGTTGTCAATTTCAGCATCAAAGACATAAGTTCGTAAATAAAAGAAGGTTATCTCGAAATTGTAATTCGCAACATAGTATAAATTTCTTTTGATAAATATTTCCAAAACATCGTGTTTATTCATAAAACATAAAAAAAAATATTTTCGGATGAAAATGCACTTGCAGAGACACAATTATGAAGAAAAATGCCATAAAATTGCAATTTTCTCCCGTTATATAGTTTTGGATGCAAATTTCCATCAGAAAATCGGATAGAGCTTTACTTGTTTCATATGTGTACCAAAAATCAGCTAATTCCATGTGGTGGAACGTTCTCATATCGCCGCCTGAATGTGGTTGTAAATTGAAAGAAAAGGGGAAATGAGTAACAACCTTGTCTGAAACCCTATTATATAGCTTATTATATACAAACTTTTATATTGAATATCAGAGCGGATATTTTCATGACAGTTTTATGATGTGTAACGACTAAATAAACAGTATCGATATAAAGATTTACACTGAGGACACCCTGATACATGAATACTGTTCTATCTCAAGTTGTCCTCTTCTGAATTTTCTGATCGTGTGGCCTTGTACATTTATCCGTATCTTCTTGTCTTTGTCTATACGTTTACGGAATCATTGACTCGACGCTAGCTATTCTTGTCTCACTTTCCTTGTTTTATTGTCCCATCTCCAAAGCGTTGTGGCTCTGTCAGGGTTGGGACCCTGACTTGTCTCACTTTCTTTGTGCCTGCCGACCACGCCACATCGAATAGATAGATTATCCATATGAAATACTTTATTTTGTTCTAAGTAATCAATCAATTCTGCGCTTCTTGGAGGTATTGAATGTGATTTATTATATTGTCTTGTTATTTTGTGTAATTAGTTGTTCGTTATTTATCACACATTTTCGCATAATTGTACCAAACTACTAAGTATTAGCTGTTTACAGCAATCATCGGTGGCTTGCTATTTTGTTACTTTATCGACGCTTCATAAACCAATCGTTATTGTTTCAAGATGGAGGGTAAATGTGTTGGAGAAGGGTGTCAAGTATACTTCAAGAAACGTAGTGGCAATAAGAACAGAAGTGCACGCAATGTAAATAGTCCACAATATAAATGGCTCCTAGATACGCTGGTGCAACAAGGATTGATGTCAGCAAAGGAACAAGCACTTATTTGCCAGAAGTGCTACATGAAGTATCTTCGGAACAAAAATCAGCCTGAACCTGAACCCGAGCAGAACCAGGAAATAGAGGAAGAAGACGACTCCCCGTCCCATATCCTGCCGTTGCTGACCCTTCATGATCTTTTGAATGGATCATCTTCACACAAAAAATGCTGTCTCTGTCTTGTTACCTTTGCAAGAAATGGAACAAAATCATCAGTCTTACCAAAACGTGCAAGACATCACCTGATCTATTCACACAAACTGTGGTGTCCCACCTCATCCCGCGTCTGCTCCATTCACCTTATTGGTAACGACTTAGATCCGTCTACAGAGGTTGTCCTTGATGGTAGAGGTTCCTTGGAATCTCAGTTACCATCAAAATCGTCCGAAATCATTAATGACCTCCTAGAGGTGTCGCACGTCCTTTCACAGAACCAGTCTGCGTTTACAATAAGCTTTTCTTCTCTTGATGACTCGGCATGCATGGCCTGGACAGGTTGGTCCAAAGATCAGTTCCTCGAAATCCACTCGCACTGTTCCCCATATCTTTCATCTGGTATATATACCAAGACTACACACGATGCTCTATTACTGTTCTGGGTAAAACTGAAAACCGACATTTCCTGGAGTCAGTGTTCTTCTCTTTTTGGAATTTCCAAGTCAAGTGTGTCCAAAACTTTCCACTCCATAGTACAGGCATTAGACACATCGATAGTCCCACAATTTCTAGGTCCGGATCACTTGACAAGAGAACAGTTGCTCGGGCACAATACTGTCTTTTCAGAAGCATTTTTTGGAGATAAAGCCACTGCCATATTAGATGGCACCTATATTTATATCCAGAAAAGCTCCGACCACAAGCTCCAGAGAATGTCCTACTGTGGCCAGAAGAAGAGAAACTATCTCAAATTCATGAGCATCGCCTTACCAGATGGCTACATTCTGGACACAGTAGGACCATTCACTGGCAGCGAAAATGATGCTACAATTACAAAAAAAGTCATGGACAAGCTAGTTACTTGGCTACAACCAGACGACAACGTTGTCGTTGACCGAGGTTTTAGAGATGTCCTACCAGTTCTCGAAGCCTCTGGCCTCAATGCTAGCATGCCGTCATACCTGAAACCCGGTCAAAGTCAACATTCTGACGTCCAAGCAAATCTTGACAGAACTATCACCAAATCGAGGTGGATTGTGGAATCCTATCATGGTCGTCTGAAACACTGGACGTTCTTCCGAACGCAATTGGTGTCTAACAGCTTTATCAATGTCATCGAGGCTTTGCTTCGAACCGTCACAGCCTGTCTGAATGGTATTAGAGGACCGATCTACCAGAGATCTCCAGAGAGAGATGCCAAAGATAGGCTAATGGCTGAACGTATGAAGGACCGTTTGACAACACCGAATGGTTTAGCTCAGAGAGTCAAGACAGATCCGGATCTATCTAGACGGGCAAGGTCCGAGTTTGTCAAGATGGATGCATCTTCCGTACTGTTTCCCCGTCTCGATCTTGATTACTTGAGAACCATTACGTGTGGAACGTATCAGATATCTCTGGCTCCTGGTTACATCGCCGAACATTTAAGTGATGACGGAGACTATGAGGTGTGGCTTTACCAGCACTCCCCAGACCTTCTCCGATGTCAAATACATTCTCGACACAAAAGCCAAACGAAATATAACGTTTGGATACGGTTCACCGTTTCACCCGATGTTGAGGCCCCAATAAAGGACTACTACTGCCAGTGCCCAGTTGGAGAGAGAACGATGGGAATGTGTGCGCACATCTCCAGTATCTTGTACTACCTTGGGTATTACAGGACGCTGGAAAACCCTCGACCATTACAACCACAGGTAAAGAAATTCCGACAAAACTTGAAATAGTTTTCCATGCGGCAACGGAGTGCATATGTCGAAAGTATGTTTGGGGCTCGATATGAAAGATCCCCGTTACCATGTGACTAACCAAACTTATAAATATAGGTATTATACAATCGCCCGTAGCTATGAACACTCCCGTAAATGCGAAAACCAACCAAAATCATAAGGAACACGTTTTGTTTGTTGTTCTGTCTATTTGTCAGCCAATGTCTTCAACCACGGGGACTTGTGAAGTAGCCATCTTGGATTTTTTTTATGAAAAAGTGTTTCTCTCACTTTTTTTCATATCTGTGTACATATTCTCAACATACCGAGCAAATACTCTCGTTTTTTTGTTAATTATCTAAAGAAAGTCGAAAATCGGCAATTCAACCATAGGCTAATTCAACCCAACATTTGAAAATGTTCCACCACTTACATTTTGATGATTTTTCCTCTCATCAATAGCATATTACGTACTGTTTAATAGGATAAAAATTGGTTTGCATCCAACGCCCATAAAAGGGTGTATTCTCTAAAAAACACAGTTTTTGTGTCTAAAATGTTATCATCGAAAATGGCATTTTTGAGATTGTTTCTTCCATAAAACAGCCAAATGGCGCGATGGAAACATGATTTTTTGTCACAATCATGCCATGAATGTATTCTTTACGGTGACCATCATTTGATTAGATTTTCATTAATATTTTACATAACATGCACATTTTATCAACACTTAGACAGCTTCTGAAAGGTACAACTTTTAGGAGCCATAAAAAACAAACCAAGTGACCTAAATCTTTATACTTTATAGATTTGTGACCACAACAGCATGGGCAATGCACCACCAACAGGAAATTTGAATCAGAGAAGGGGCCGTTTTGGAAACCGGCCCTTTATATATTATTAATCTATTTATTTCTATACTTATTTATAGGTTGTCTTAAACCTTTTGCTACGATCATTAAGTAATTGTTATGTGATTTATGCCCTTAGATGTATGGTTACAACAGTGACATTTTATGGTAAGATTGGTCAAACGGTTTAACCTTACCTGGGTAAGAAACAGACATGCGCAGAGCCAGACGAACACTCATTTTTGGGGTGGTCTTTGGGTGGCAGTACTCTTCCCGCATGTTATTTACATTTATCATGACCAAACAAAGTTCCTTGTTGAACATCTTGTAAACCTGAAAAACAGTACTTTTACCAACATGTCTTGTGTATATATATAAGTACAAGACAATGTCAAATAAAAAAACAACAGAACACACGAAACCGAATGAGTACATTGTATCATATATAATGAATATTTTTAGATTTCAATAACAAGAACAGTCGTAAAAAGATTCACATTCAAAAAATTCGAAACAATATAATACTAAAAAAAGTTCGATGAGAGATGCAATGACATTTCTAATAACTTTAACCGTTTCTAATGAGCAAAATGTAAAAATCAAAGAAGATCATTGTTAGTATACATATACCAAGGCATGGTAACTACTAAACCTGTTCGAAGGTAACGTCAGGATTGCCAGTCTTCTTCTCTAGCAAATCACCGAAGTATTGATAGAGTTTGTTGCCAGGATGTACACCATAGCGACGTATTAGATTGGGAAGAAAACTAAAAAAGCTGCAACGGGCATCTGAAATGATGTAATGCAAAGCAACAGTTTTCTTGATCCTCACCATAACCCTCCTTACCACCAGAAACCCTCACACCTCCATCATTACCCTTACAATAACGAACCAACCTACCCTAGGCATAACGATTACTCATCCATCACCTTAACATACCTTTTTACCCTTACTTCATACAATAAACTCTCCCACCCTCACCATGACAATTACCTTTCCGTCACATTAACAAACCTGCCTACCCTTACTATAATAAACCCTCCCACCCTCACCATAGATACATTAAAGTACACTTCCATCATCAAAACGAACCTTTTTACCCTTACTACAATAAACTCTTCTATCCTCTACATAACTATAACCCTTCCATCACCAAAACACACTCCCTACCCATGCTATAATTAAAACCCTCACACACCCACCGTACCTTCTTTCATCTTAACGAATCTTCCTACCTTTACGATAATAAACCCTTCCACCCTCACTATAATGATAATTTCTTCCATCACCTTAACATACTTTCTACCCTTACTATAATAAACCCTCCCACCCTCACCATAACGATAACTGTTCCATCACCTGAACAAATCTTTTTCCCTTGCGACAATAAACTCTCCCATCCTCACCATGACGATTACCCTTCTATCACCATAAACGAACCTTCCTACCCTTACTACAATAAACTCTCCCATCCTCACCATTACGATTGCCCTTCCATCACCTTAACATACCTTTCTACCCTTACTATAACCAACCCTTCCATCCTCAACATGACGATTACCCTTCGATCACCATAAACGAACCTTCCTACCCTTACTACAATAAACTCTCCCATCCTCACCATGACGATTGCCCTTCCATCACCTTAACATACCTTTCTACCCTTACTATAATCAACCCTTACACCCTCACCATAACGATTACACTTCGATCACCATAAACGAACCTTTTTTTACCCTTTACTATAACAAACTCTCCCATCCACATCGTGACGACTATCCTTACAACACTATAACGAACCTTTCTACCCTTACTATAATAAACCCTCCTAACCTATCCATACCTATTATCCTTCCATCAATAATAGGATACTTTCTATCCTTACTATAATAAACCCTTCTATCCTATCTATACCTATTATCCTTCCATCAATAATAGGATACTTTCTACCCTTACTATAATAAACCCTCCTATCCTATCTATACCTATTATCCTTTCATCACCATAACGAAACGTCTAAAAACAAACAGCATAATGATGAGACATGTGTTTCTCGCACCTCAGACAGAGATATCCCACGTCATACTCAATGCTAGAACCTTTACGTGACATTTCTCGTAATTTTTACACTGCGATGTATTCATCAACACCTTTCGGTTTAAAATTGGCAGTCTGCATTATAATTTTTTGTTTTCTCGTTATATGTATTGTTTTGATGCTGTAAGATATCTGATGTTGTAGATAAAATATAATCTACACTTTGAAATACGTTGTCTTCTTTGTAAGGACGGACTGCAATTTTTTTCGCGCGGAAGCATCCAAATGTAGCTTTAGTTAAGCAGAGGCTATTTTCATGTGAGGCCCCAGACAAGATACTTGTAGCCTTTAGCAAACTTGGGTTGTTTTTTTCGAACTGAAATGTGCGAGGGAAAGAAATCAATTACCTGTAACAGAGTAAGATCGGGTTATCTCAGTCTCGGGCTAGAATTCTGCAACATTCCAACCTCAACTTACGCCTCGGTTGGGATTATGTTACAGAATCTTAGCACTCGAAATAAGAAGCTGACTCTTGATATTAATTCTGTAAACTGGATAGAAACATATAATTTTACCAATACAGATAGTTTTCCATTTATGACATCCAACCCCTTACCAAAGAGAAGATCGCTGCTAATGTTCTCCCTCAAGATGGTTTCCATTTCGTCAACGGTATATCCAACTGCTAGAGTGGTCGCAATTATAGCACCAAAGCTAGTTCCAGCAAACCGTTTTACTTTTGAGAGAATTCCAAGTTCCTCTAAAACCTTTTAAAAATGAAAAATCAATTATTTGCAGATTACAGATCATGCTTTATGTACAATGAAATGCTGTTATAAAGGAATAACAGCATGAATTATTACATGTTTTCCTGACAGAATTTGTTCAGGTGTTTCCGTCTCCCTGTTATAGTAATCTGTAACCAATCATCGCGTGACGTACAGGTCATTGATTACGGAAACCCCGATTAGCTTCCGATCGCCCTTTGTGGCCTGGGAATTTTGTAACTAAAGAAAACACAACATTGTTCGTGCAAATACTGCTGTTCCACTGTTTGACAAAACATTTTACGTACATTTTACCAGTCAAATAGATATAAGGTTAATAGTTGATATTGTACTTCTATGAAGTGAAAAAAATACACTTGTAATTTTCCCACTTTATTGACCAATCAGTGAGCAGGGTTTAATGTAAAACAAAACAAAAAACAAAAAAACGGAACATTGTCAATAGTGACGTTACAATATTCCTGATGTATTCCTATTGTAACGTCGCACACTAATTCTACTAAGTCAATGTCTGTATAAGGATAAGTATTCATAAATTTCTGATAAATAACAGATATATTTCACTCATGAGTTGACTATGTTTTCATATATTTCACTCGCGCTCTGCACTTATATACAATATCAAGGTATTCACATTATTCGTGAATTATAGCTGGTATTCCTGAAGAAATTCGTCTGTTTTTAAAACGTAACATGAACGAACTAAAAGAAACCAACCAAAATGAAGAAAACAAACATTCTTTGGAGTTTCGAAAAAACAACAACTTCATCATGGTTTGCAAGTCATTCAGTTCAAACATATTCTTAGAGGGGCGTTACCTCGCATCAAGGAAAAACGTTTGAACGAAACTTTGTTATATACTATCATAAATGCTAAACGGATGCATGTCTTACCTTTGATATGGACGAAATTTTATCATCGCTAATTCTAGTTTTCTCTACAATGACGTTGCTGTATTGTAACGCCTGTGAACAAACTCGGTGTTTTCGTATATTTGATGTTCCGAATGTGAATTAGCTAATGGTTAATTTGGAAATGTATCATTTGGAAGTAAAGAAAACTCGGACCTCACTTTATGTCTTACCTTCACGCCTCCGACGTGAGCAGAACCTTTGCTTCCCCCTCCCTCGAACACCAGGTTCTCAAACGGGTAATCACGATCCTTAAGGAAGTCAAAACGCATATCCTCGCACTTTTTGTTGCATTTCGATGTTCGTTGCTCTGAAATTTCAAAATTGACTGAAGCTTAACTTTCCCCACATTTGATAGCAATATGTTCCGGCATACATAGAATCTGACTATTGACTTATCATAACGTCACTGAACCGCTGGCAAAAGGATAAATGTCGATGATTGAGTTGAAGCGAAAGCTAAAATAGTAATGGACATATTCATCTATAAAATCCCAGTTAGCAATTACAATCTATATATTAAAGATGGTTATGTTTCATGAACAATTATTTCTTCTCTAGCACGGAGGAACTGGGGTTATAATTTCGTTGTTTTCATATACAGGGGTGTCAGCGTGTTTTAAGGACATTATATTTTGATGATTTCTGATTTTTCCCTATCTGTATCATACCAAATTTATGTTTTTGTGGGGATTTAATTTCGTGGATTTTTGTTATCCACGAAATAAACGACGAAAATTTAGGATTTTACAGTAATGTCATTGTAATGTTATGTTATTGAGACGGCAAACTGACCTGAAAAGTCTGTGCCGTTTTCAACAGGCAACAAGCAAATATTTTCTATATCTCTAGGAAAAAAACAAAAGCTATAACAACTCTCTCAATCCTAAATATAACAAGCGGGCAAAGGCCACTTAGCTGTTGTTCCTATCAGGAACACAGACTATATCAATTAATTTCGACAAAGCAACGCTGACGAGGTATATACTACACTTTAGGGTCACTCATTAAAATATAAATACACCATGCTGCTGACACTATATTCAGCGCAGTTGTATACATTATATGCATGTATATCAACAAACATATTTATGAGGACGAATTTTAAGATAAATAATTAAAACTCGACGGTTAATCACTTAACCCTCAAAATCAATAGGTTTCCGTTTAAACCCCACTCGATAAGATTGGTAAAAGACCGACCGACCGCTTAATTTTCAGCAATCTTGTACACAAGCCCGCTAGCTAAAAATGACAAACAAATAAGAATGCGGCATATCGTGGTATTTGTCAATCTTACGAAACTTGTGAATTATTAAGACTTTTATATTTTATATGACGCTGTTCAGTGAAGTTGATTGGGTTGGTCATTTCCAAGCAGTTATTCATTAGTAAACTTTTAAACACATTACCAAGGTTTGGTACGTGCACCGCAAAATTTGCTAAGTTTTTACTATACATATGTTTACTACGTAAATGAAGTTAAAAAAAGTTTTTCGTCACATCCGTATAGATTAAATGAATGTAGAGAAAAAAGTAGAGAGTAAATAAAGAAACGAGATTCTGTAAGATAATATTATAAATTACCGACTCACCTATTTGTTTTTCGATATCTTTTTCATCTTCTTCCGACAGAAGGGAATCAAAATTTAGACGTGTGTCTTCTCTCGTCAAAGTGCTGTGGTTTCCACCCATCTTATCGTTGTTAAAACAGACTAAAAGTCTGATCAACCCGATAGAGATCTAATCCTGTGTATTTTCAAGTGTAAAACATATACAACTAGTAAGAAATTAGTATGTTGTGTATGATATTAAAATTCAAACAAATTTCCTTGTGTTTTATGTGGTGGAATACCGAACGTCGGCAACATTTCAAAATTGTATTACGAAGGCTGTTTTGACTTAAATGAATGATTTTCTCAATATTTCCAAATCCCGGTTATATATTCCGCCATAGCATACAAACATTTGCTGATTATATCTATTCTACCACGTACAATGTAATGGGAATGTGATTTTTAGTCTACCTAATTGCGCATGCTTTTTGCACGGTGACATATTTACTTCAATTATTTTAATTAGTATGATCCTTGGTATGTAATGCCTTTGTCTTCTTTTGAAATGGTCATATTTGACTCATATCCTTTGTCTCATCGTCAATACTCTAAAACTGTGAATAACCAAAGAAGACGCATCGTTCATACTGTCTGAGCGTGACATTTACCAAATGGCACAACTCGCCTTGATGATAAACACTATATACAATGTTGAGTCTGAAACCTCTACAAGCTTCCTATATAGTGACAATTTGTTTCTTAATTCGACAGACAATAAAAAAAACCACCGATATTGTCCTTTATAAAACAGAAGATTGAAATGCTATGCATCACTATTGTGGGAAAACTAACCGGTAGACATGTAGAGGCCATACCATGACCAAGTGATGTATTCCTACCAAATTGATAGAATTTCGATCTTCTGTACAGCATCCATCAATTGGACCTTTGCGTTAATATACAAACACTATTTTGAGTCACATTCGGTGAAAAATTATCATCGTGAGCTTGACAGGTTGTAATATATCTAGGGGTAAATAATTGTGTTTATTTATTTGGTTGTTAGCAAACAATCAAATATCCACGCAAACAAATGCGCTCATTTCATTTGACAAAAGAAAACAGCCCACGGCTCTCTTATTTAAATCTGCAAAACAGGATGATTTTTGTAAGAGCAGTTCGTGTTCATAGTTTGTTTGAATATAATGCATGCATACAAGGTTCCTTACAGGAACACATCTAACAATAACAGGGACACTTTAGAAATAGCCGAAAAACATCTTAAAATTAAACTTAATGTGTGTGAGATATAAGTAACACTTTCTGTAAATATCAGCAACAAAACTTACCTTGGTGACACGTACGTAGGACATTGTACAGTATATTTTTTCATTGTGTTTAAGATACTATAACAACTGTATTTCCTCTATGTGTATTACCAAAGGAACTGAGTAATAATTCCCTGTAGTAGCAGATTCCGGTACGTGTTTATCAATCAAAGTGCATTACGGTTGTTTTACTGGAAGCCGATCGATTCCGGTATATGTTCCACGGTTGTGACTACAGGAGACGAACAGTGTATCTATCGACCAACGATACATGAAAGGCCAGCGTGTCCAGTTAATGATGCTCGAATAAGCCCCGTTCATGTTATTCAAAGCAAGAATGAAAAACATTTTTTTTCAGTATGACGGAAGTCGTTTCCTTACAAATGAATGTCCCTCAAGGGTAACCAATATCAAACATGTAACATATTTATCTTCCATTGATATCTTCTATTGCTATCACGAACATTACAATATTTTCTGTATCGGCTGTTTACCCCGATCTTCACTTACAAAATGACCAACATATGCTGTATAGTAAACGTGATTATTTCGCATATCCGTTTGTGTATTATTCCTTCCTTGGAAGTCAAAACTTATTTTCCTGACCGATGGTGCTAGCGTGTCGTAGTTAAATTGATATTCACGGCCTTCCTTCTAGTATCATGATTTCCGTAAAAGATATCGAATGTTAATGTACCAATTTACAACACAGGTGTTTAAGTGCAGGTTGATCAAGACTGTAGGCATGTGTTATGGTCTGCTAGCACAATACATCCTAATTAGATATATATTGTACATATATTTTGCCTTTCCTCGCCCCAATATGTTCATGACAATATGGTTTTCTCATATGGATAAACAAACGAAACGTTCGGTCTTATACAACTAGCAAGAGAGAAGGATATCGTGGTCTTTGCCCTTCCTTTCCATATTACACACTATTTGATCCCACTGGACAAGACGGTCTTCAGCCCGTTCTAAAGAGAGTAAAATCGCCTCTGCACAGAGTTTAATGAATTTGTCATAAACAACCCTAATTACAAAATGGGAATTTCTCAAACTCTTTAATGATGCTTATAGAACGACAGCAAACAGGGAAATGTTACAAAAGAATTCGAAATATGCAATATTTCTGCCAATTTTTTAGACGCCGCACGGTCGCCGGGAGCTTTTAGCGCGGAGATAAAAGTTGCCGGTGTCCCCTAAATTTTTGCTGACCCAAACTCCTCGGAACCGACCCGGCAGTCTCCCGTGGGGTAGGGGTGTGTGTGAAAAACGGTAAATCCCAGACATCGGAAAAAAGTCCCCGGCGCCTGCGACGCTGGAGAGCCGGCTGATTCCTACTTCCCGGCCGGCGGTCGGCGCAAATATGACTGAAGCATATAAGCAGAAACAAAAAGTGCATTAGAAGGCAAAACAGGATCCAACGATATACAGGATTTGTCAGGATCGGTTAGAATCAGATTAGGATCGGGGCAGGATCGGACTATTTTATGGTTGAATACTATAATGCGAGTTTGAGTAATATAAATCTCCTTATGATTTAATTTCAACAAAACATTTTTTCATGTTTTACTTATTTGAAAGCCATTTGCTACGATGATACATTATGATACTGTTTCTAAACATTTCCTTCAGGTTGGTAAGTATGGATTATGAAAAGTTCTTTTCACACAACCAATAACCTTTTTCTATGTGACGTTTCAATGACTAGTACGGTATGTACACTGTCACCTTCATCAGACAAATGACCAGTGAAGCGAAAGTACACAAAGGTGTGAAATGTGTACGAGTTGTCCACAACGTACACTAGACATTTATCTCCATCCGTAATCGCCGGCTCGCTTGACAGATCTGCATTTAAAGACAAACTAAAGGATGAATATAATGACGAAATCGAAGATCTTTTGAATGTACGCCAGTCATTATACGATACAGCCGTGAGTAAATACCAATCTACTCCAAAGGGAACGCTCGTGAATCGCAGACATGGAGGGGCCGTGACATTCGAAGGAGAGGTCCAAAACCACGACATAGTGACAAGAAACAAACAATGATAGACAATAAGAAAACTCAGTCAAAATCAGATAAGCGCGCGGTCTTCTGATATCCAACAAAGAAACATCCACCGACAAAGCTCGTATTCCACTCGGATATGATTCTTCAGCAGCAGCTTCAAAACAAGGCAAGGCTGTCCCTCGACAAATAAAGAAAAATATTTCTACAAAATCTTCAAAACAAAGTTACATTTTCCATGATGTGCAACGTAAATAAAGAACACCAATACTTCTGACGTCGAGAATTAATGGAAATGGTTCAGGTGATGAAGTGATCAACTCGATACTTTCTAATGGAGAACAACAGAGTGTTAAATTTACATGGTCATCAAACCACATGACAGTTGGAATACCGTCTCAGAAAGTCTGGAAGCTTGTCTGACAGATATCAGTATCTGGATGAACGCCAACATGCTTAAGCTTAATCAGGAAAAGACGGAACTAATCGTCTTTTCCCCAAAGTGTCAGCAAATAATGGCTCTCCAGCTCAAGGTCGGTGCCAGAACTATTGAGACTGTACCAGCTGTTAAAAACCTAGGGGTATATTTTGATAGTTCACTGAACATGGAGAAACAAGTGAACGCTGTTGCCAAATCCTGTTACTACCGGATCAGGAACATCGGCTGGATTCGGCAGTTTTTAACTGCAAATGCAACATATTTTGGTGCATTTACTTATTACCTCTCGGGTGGATTATGGTAACGCCCTGCTCTGTGGTATATCTGACAAACTAACTAGTCGTCTGCAGAGGGTCCAGAACACTGCAGCACGGCTAGTTACTCGTACTCGAAAGAGAGAGCACATCACACCTGTGCTTTATTCGTTGCACTGGTTACCTCTACGATACAGATCGCAGTACAAAACNTTACCATCTGCAATTAGAAAGTCAAATACCCTGGCCAAGTTCAAGAGGGACATCAAAACTCACCTCTTCACGTCTGCATTTTAGAATCTTTGCAAAGACGTTATGTAAATACCACCCTTTTATTTGTTCAATTATGTGCAAATTGCTTGCTTAAATGTATAAAAGTGATTGTAAGCCTTTGTTTTTTGTTTTCACAATTATAAACATTACTATTATCCATATGTTGTAAAGCGCTTTAGAGTAATTTTACAAATTATATAGGGCGCTATATAAATGTTGTATATTATTATTATTATTATTATTACTGTGACACATGTTAGAATCTTAAAGTTCTGGGATACCGGGGATCCTAAATTATACACGTCTGAATGTTCGTGAAAGTGACTACGAAGCCGCAATAGAAAAGCACTTCCGGCCGGAAGGTGTTCTTGTTAGAGACTGGTACGAGCGGACTGACATGCATGATTCGCGAAAAAGATACAACGACAATCGAGAACATTATTACGATGACAGAGATGTTAGCGAACGCAGGAGTTATTGGCGGGAACATTGCGAAACGGACAATACATCCAGGTGGAATGACTTCAGTTACGACTGCGATTAGAACAGTTAAACTAATTCTACTGATGTCAATCAGTATGAATATGCAGTCATGGAACATGCGCGGAGCTATCTACGGCGCACGGTACATATGTGACCCTTGAAAACTTGGATATTTGCGTTATAGTAGAACATAGATTAATGCCGGGTTTTTGAACACAATCGATGACAATTTCAAGGTTTTCGGCAGGCATGATAATGTGATACGATAAGAGCCAGAGGCTAGACACCGCTGCTACAGGACGGGAACGACAGGATCGTTAACGTTGGTATCCGTGTGAAATCAGAA